CCTGCAGCAAGAACATCGTTCCCCACTTACACAGTGCCTTAATTATCAGGATTGTGTGTTCTCAAGGAAAGAGACTGAGAGATGTGAGAGAGAACTTGGAGTTCTCAACAGGAGGGAACTTGTGGCTGATAAAATAGTACCGGGGAGGAAAATGAAGCAAGAAGAGCTGAGGACGAGGCAAGACACTGCAACCCTGGGATGAGGGAAGCGTGTGCAATGCCCGTGTCGGTTGGCAGGAACTGCGGGCGCTTCTCTCCGACTTGTTCACTGCTCAGGCCTTTATCGTTTCAGAGAATCCCAGAACCCCAGACTGGTTTGGGTTGGGAGGGACCTTAAAGCTCATCCAGTCCCAACCCCCCTGCCATCAGCAGGGCTAGACCAGGTTGCTCAAAGCCTCATCCAACCTGGCCACAAACACTTCCAGGGAGGAGCAGCCACAGCTTCTCTGGCCAACCTGGGCCAATATCTCACCACCCTCACACCAAAGAATTTCTCCCTGATGTCTAATCTAGACCTATCCTCTTCCAGTTTAAAGTTTCCCAGTTTCAGCATGAATCGTGGCTGCAGCAGAGGTGAGTCCTGCCCGCTAACGGCTCGGCTCTCGTTTCTCCAGGTGACGCAGTACCTGCTGGACCAGTCGTGTGTGATGGATGAGGAAACCCTTTACGAAGCTTCTCTGCGAATCGAGCCCAAACTGCCTTCGTGAGGCGGAGCGGCGGCTGGTGCCCCCCACGCTGTCCCACCTGTAAATACCTCTTTGTTTCTGTTGGACGCCCTGGAGTGACTCCCACGTATGTGCTTCTCCAAGCGAACCGCCCTCCTGGTCCTTAGGCCGCAGTAGACCTCGCATCATCGTAGGATTTCCCGCATCGTTTTCAGGTTTCACGCATCGACACTTTGCCGGAGTGCCCGTTTCTTTTCGATGATGATGTTCTTTTTGTCATTTGTTCTTCTCGAGGGGGTTGGGGTGAAGCCGTGTGAGATCCCACGGGGCTGGCGGGCAGCACGGAGTGGCTCGGGCGCTACGGGCAGGAACAGCCCCGGGCAGACCCGGTAAGGCGAGGGAAGAGAACACATTGGAGTTGATCCGTCCGTGGGACGTTGCCCTCTCACTCTGTGCCACCCCCGGTGCCGGGGGGTCCCTCGGCCGCTGCCCCCGGTCCCTCCTCAGTCGGGAAGATGGAAACGTGTCCCCGTGACTCCTCGCTGCGTACGGCTCATGACAAGCTTCTGTTGATATGCTCTAGACGCGTATACCTTGTGCCCACTCTGAGTAACATGACGTAGAGTTTAGCCAACGATGACCGAGTGTTTTTATTACATATACTGTAATCCTGTCTAACCACCTCCTAGCAGGAATATAGTAATGTAGTGCTTATTCTGTGAATATTACCATGGATTTTTTACATT